TCCCATAAACTTGTTTATAAGTTATGTTATTGAAAGTAAAAAATGTAGAAGTTAATATAAATTTGATCATACTTATGAAATCATTTTTGGGAATCTTAGTGTGTGACTCTATGAAATGCCATCTACTATTGATACCGTTTAATGCAAGATCTATGGAAACATTAGTAAATAATGAAACAACATCCAGTGAAATTATTGTGTCGGAATCTTTTAGTGTTTTTCCTGATAGAATGTTGCATAAATCAAAACTGTTATTTATAAAACTGTCAGCTCTAGGAAGGCTATCTTTTAAAATTTTATAAAAAAAGGAAGCAATATTATATAAGGAAGTGTTTATTGAGGAAACTATTAATCTAAAAGGAATATTTTCCTTATGGACCTTGAGAAGCCCATAGGCTTTGGGGAGAAGGGAATCACTAGAAAATAAATAATAATATTCCTTCTTGTTTATGATGTCTTTTTTCAACCATTTTTTTAAAAATTATTAAGTTCTTTTTCTATTTTTATTGATGGATTATTTTTGACTGTCAAAAATAATTATTTTTATATATATATATAAAATCCCTGCCAAAGCTGATTGACTAAAATGGCAGTACTTGGCACTCTGTTGGTGTTCCTTAATTCGTGTACTGATTTTTCTCCCAGTTTTTCCTATCTATACTTTTCCGCAGGAGCAAGGAATCCTGTATATACCTGGTGTTTCTAAGTGTGGTCTCCGGTCTTTGGGATTAAGAAGTAGTTGCGCAATCTTATTTTGAGGTTTGGAAATTACTTTGATGTTGTGTTTACCCAGGATCCTGCTAATGCGTTCTGTTGTACCCTGAAGATACGGAAGGATCGTCTATTTTTATCTTCTTTTTCTTCTTTTTTTTTACTTGATGTACTCATATTTGTAGAACTGGAGATTTTATTTTTCAGCCTTTCAGTTGTTCGATGGATGTCTTTGCTGTTGTACCCATTCTTGGTCAAGACTTGGTTGAGATGTTCTAAGTCTTCATTCAGGAAAATTGGTTCAGAAATTGTTAAGGCTCTGTATATTAATGAACTGATAACAGAATTCTTTTGAGTCGGGTGATGATGAGAGATGGCATGGAGGTAACGGTCTGTAAGTAGGAATACTAGGGGGGTTCTAACGCAGGTCCTCTAAGGGGCGAGAGGGTATCTTGAGAGCGCGGGGGGATGATGTCACGCGGGGCGGGGGTTTTCGTTGGCGAGGGGGGTATGCCGTAGGAGGGGGGTAGGTCCCTAAGCATGTTTGATAGATGTTTATCTTTTTTTTTGAGAGGGGGGAGGTCCCAAGCATGTTCGCAGATGTTTATCTTTGTGATTTATGACTGTCCGAATTTAAAACCGAGCACTCCAAAATCCATAAAACTCATTTTATGGGCATTTTATTGTATTTATATATATAATAAATAATAATATAATGTAATATATATATATATATATATATATAGTATATATATGTAGTAGCTAGATTAATCTGTTATTATTTATTAATTATGTGTACATTTATAACGTAGATTAAATCACAGCTATTAATCACATAGTTCTATAATTGCATTCTTACATCACAGTAATTACATAGTAGCTAGATTAATCTGTTATTATAGTATTTCATAAAAATAAAAATAAATCATAGATTTTTTTAATTACGAAGAAGAACAATATCGAATAAACTTTGTACTTATCATAAAACATAAACGTACACATACATATTATATAAACTTTGTACTTAAAATTATCTCTCTGAAATTAAGTTACTACACATAGATGTAAATTACACTTGAAAATTTAGATACAAACTTATAATATCTGCAAACAAACTTTCATATAAAAGTATCACATGTAAAATTTAGGAAAATACGTTTAAGAAAACAAAAACAGACATCCAACATTTGCTTTATTAGTTTGTAAGTTTATATTACAGTTTGCACATATCATAAGCTAAATATAAATAAAATAAAAAAAAATAAAAATAAAAATAAAATAATAGCAAAATTGCTAAAATTGCTAAAATAATAGCAAGACTATGTTTTGATATTCGTATTTAAAAATAATGTTTTCATTTTGTTTATACTCAATCGACTTCTACAATCTGTCATAAAGAGACCTGCCTTTGAAAAAAGTCTTTCACATGGAACAGATGTTCCTAAAGCACACAAATATCTTTTTGCTAAATTTGAAAGATATGGGAAATATTGCGCATTTTCTTTCCACCAATTATTTGGATTTTCTTGTCGTGGAAGTATTTCTACTTCATCAACATATCGTTGAATTTCAATTAAAGCTCTGCACATAGGCGTTTTTTTTGGTTTAGTAACAGCAATGTTATCAAACTTGTACCATACAGATAATTCGTCTTCTAAATTATTTTGATTTAATGACCTATTATTTTCATTTACACTATTATATCTTGTGTGTTCAATGTCCACACTGTTTGTTAATGATGAAACCACTATTCTTTTTGCATGTTCAGCAGCGTTTGTGTTAGAAAAAGCTAACATTTTGAATCTAGGATCCAAAAATGTACATATTGATAACGTAGTACTACTCTCTATATTTCCAAGTCTCACATTAAAGCCATATTGAAGTTTAGAGATTACATTCAATAGAAGAGGTGAGAAATTCTTCGTGTGTAAAGTTGTACATATGTTTTGTAAACCATTTGTTAATGGAATGACTAGGGATGCAGAACAACATTTTTCTCCACTAATTGTTTTTGTCACTGCTTCAAATGGCTTTAATACCTGACACAATTCATTAATTATTTTCCATTCTTCTATTGTGAGTATTGGAAGGTCTTTATCTAATACAGCTAAAATACTACGAATAGCAGTTTCAAGTTTGGAAAATCTTCTTAACATGAAATAAGTAGAGTTCCATCTAATATGTACATCCTGAATAAGTTTTAAAGGTTGATCACCATTATTTTTTTGAAATACATTAATTTCTCATTTGAGATACAACTTCTTTTAAAATGAGCAACAATAATTTTAATTTTCTCTAAAATTTCAGGAATTCCATCAGTGCTTAGAGCATCATTAACAATTAAATTTAAAGTATGAGCAAAATAACTAAGGTGCTTCTATCCTAGTTCTTTAGAAATAGCATTTTTTATATTACTAGCACTATCTAATACTGCTAACACAATTTTTTTTTTAATACCCCATTCTTGTACGACTTTTCTTATTTTATGTGCCAGATTTTTACTTGTATGGTTTGTAGACATTGCTGAACATTCTAATAACACAGATATTAATTCAAAATTATGATTAATAAAATGAACTGTTACAGCAATGTAACTTTCAGTATTTTTTGACGTCCAGCAATCAGTAGTTAAACAATAACTTAAGCCAGAATTGACTAGTTCTTTGGTGTTCGTTAGACATTCTTCATAAAGACTAGGTATTGCCGTTTTAGAAATAAAATGCCTTGAAGGCATTTTATAGTTTGGATTTAGTGCTCTAATAAATTCTATAAATGCTTTTTCCTCTACAATACGGAATGGATGGAAATCTTTAATAAATAACTGTAATAACTTATTATCAATTATTTTTTTCTCTTTAGTAGAAATCCAGATAGCAAGTTGTCCACAAGTTGCTGTCAATTTGCTTGAAATTGCTTTGATTAATATAAATTTAACATATAAAACAGGCAATAAGAGCCAAATCGCGGATGACCGTGCGTTATCCTAAACGAAACTAAATTTTTTCGTTAGAATTTAAATACCTGTGCACAAGGCACCAAATTTTACTTGGACACGGCCAAGATATAAAATTGGAATAATCTCTACAAGAGATTTAATTCCATACATCCCCTGTTTCCCCTCTAAGGAAATAGATGTGAGAGAAAAATATAGATCCGAAAGTCGTTGAATCGGGAAACGAATCCGAGACCTTTGCTTTGATTAAGTTGTTTTCAATATTGAGGAAAACGGTTTCCGATTTTGCCTATTAGATTGTCGATTGTTATTGCTATCGACAATTGTGAACAATTTGAGAGCAACAGTTGCTTTCTTAAGAACCGTTTGTATAAAATGTTATTGGAAATCACAGAGCAAGATGACGAAAATAGTTTTCGTTTAAAATCTTAATCCAATTAGTTGCTAGTAATCTGATGAATATTTTGAAGCAAACCGTTGCCATAAAAAAAGCTAATTTGATAGGGTTTTGGTTATTATTAGGTTAATTATTAAAGATAGAGTTTTTGCAATACCGTCTTTCAGATACGGTAAACGCTAAAGATCGTGTTATTGGGTAACTGTGCATGCACAGTAGTTATTTATTTTTCGACCTAATGACGTAATTTTTGCGTTTATCGTATCTAAAAGACGGTATTGCAAAAACTCTATCTTTAATAATTAATCTAATAATAATGGTATTGTAAAATTCTCTTTTATATATATACAAAAAACGCACATGACGATTGAAAATATATGTATACATACGTATTTTATTTGATGACTATCAGTTTGTATAATTTCGTTAAAATACTTGACAAAATATTTTTATATAACAATAATAATTATATGCATATATATATATATATATATATATATATATATATACGATAATGTGTATATATATGTAAATTGTTTTTTTTTGTATGAAATTGCCATCATCTTATTTCTTAATCACACATTTTGTCACTCAATTTTATATATATATATATATATATGTATATATCAGAATTATGATTCGCATTTAATATATATATAAGCCAAAAAATATATATATTTTTTAACATATAATATAACTTTAGACTTTATATAACTTTTACTTTATAACATGCTACAAATATACGGTTATAAATGCATGAAATATAAATATTATCAATTTCTTCAAAGAAAAATCAAAATTAAGTTCTTTATTTTATGTATCTTATTAAAAACAAAAACAAAAATTGAACTAAAACTTGATAAAAAAAATCTATAAAATATCTTAACCGTGTATTATTAATCGAAAATTATAAAAGGAGGATAAAATTCATATATAAAGTTAATCATCAATATTTGATGAATGCTCATCGCTCTCGTCGCTGTTATTTATTTCTATATCTTCATCGTTATTGTTATTTTGTGGTTGATTTCTATTATTCTCGTGATTGTCAATATTTTCATCATTGTATAATGCATCTGCAGCAGCCTGCAAGTTTCTTCGGTTTCCTTGTACACCTGGATGTCTGCCCCTGGCATTTCGAAATCGTTGTTTTGCCACTTTTAAAGATGCGACGACTTCTCTTTGAAATTCTTCCCTGGTTGGTTTAAGGTAGTACCGATTCGACGCTACGGCTTCTGAAAAATAATAGATAATTTATTATTAAAATAGATGATTTAATATTAAAACCAATATTGTATAAAAATGAGACAGTGGAATAATTAATATACATACGGTAAATTGCTTGACATAAAACTGTATTATAGAATGACACTTTATTATCATTAACTCTCCACCACGTCAATTGCCTGGCCACTTGCGTTGTAATGGCTTCCTTCATGCATTGATGCACGCTGTCTTTTAATGTTATACAGTTTAAAAACTTGAAGTAGTGTACCTATATATATATAAATACAAATTAATAAGCTTTATTAAAACTCCTAATGTGAGATGCATATTTAAATTAGCGAACATATTCAAATAGGCGAAAGAGTCATATGCGGATAATAGTACAAAAATGAATTTTTTATCAAAACTAAATAGATGTACTCTCAAGGTACAAACTTTTTTTTATACATACAATACCAAGAAAATAATTCACAATTTGAGAATTTTAAATAAAAATACAAATTATTATAACAAAAATAAAAAAGATTAATGAACCAAGCTAATAATTATATTATTCTGATATAATTGTTAAATAATGATTCTGCAAATATTTCGATCTGTCATCTTCATTACGATGATATGGTCACGGTGACTTAGAAAATAAACATGAAAATAAATATAATATACATGAAGATTGATTCGCACGATTCAACAATTTAAATTCTTTACGAAATTAATGTCGAAATGAAAAACGAATTATGATTACATAAAAAAATTTTATAATATATATAATTAAAATATAAAGTTAATTTGTATACATTAAAAATGAATTAATTTAATACATACGACTTCATCGTAAACAGCGTTGTCCTTTCTAAACATTTGTATTGTTTGTACTGTCGAAAATGGAAGGATTTGTGGTTTCATGGGAATTCTATTAATAACATTGGATTCGAGTTTTTGCTCTATTGAATCCAATCGTTCATTTGTTCTTCTGAAATTGATTTTAATTAGTAATATTATAAAACAGTATAGTGTGAGAAAAGGCCAGATGTAATATTAACGGTAATAGTCTAATTGATTTGTTATTTATGTGTAATATTTCATATTTATTGAAACTTTTAAGTATATAAAATTATTATCTATCTTCAATATTAGTTTAATAAGAAAATATATATAGTACTGTATTGTATGTTGTAAATCGCGAAGTATTTCAATAACTTGCATTTTATTTCCTTCTCTTCTTTCTGCTAATGGTGCATTATTTTCCAATTGTATTTGCTGCATAATTTTAAATGGCTCATTATTAATTGGTGCTGTATTTCCCAATTCTTGGATTTGACTCGGTTCTTTCAGTAATGGATTTTCATTGACAAATGCAACATTTGAAAAAGATGGTTGTAAATTGTGTAGCAATTGCTTTTCATTCTCCAAGGGTTGAATATTATGTAGTTGAGTAACTGATGTGATAGTTTCCAAGATTTCTTTATGTTGCATGTCATTCTTCATTAAATGTATGTTCGAGTCTTGAGTACCACGATAAAAACTGTTTTCATTAATCCTGGATTGTTGCGATATACTTGTAGCATTATTTGTATTAAACAAATACGAATTATTAACAGCTTGTTGTTGCATATTTTTTGCAAAATTGTTCGTTGTGTTTTGTTCAGTATTATTAAAATTCTGTCTACTGAGAGGTATTGAATGATACAATACTTGATTATACTTTTCATTTTGATTACACGTTTCTTTGATTTGTGTGTTTAGAATTTTTATTGGATTTTGGTAGATCTCATCAGATATTATGCGCATCTTTGTAGCTGTCGATTTTGAATTCTTATTGAAATCTGAATTACATGACACATTTTCATCATTGATAATATTGCAGATATTCTGTAAAATAATTGAAACTTTTTTCTTTGTTTTTTCTTCATCAATATATTTAGATTTTTTAGCTTTAACTATTGATTTGCATCAACTAGAATAGCTGCTAAATTCTCCATAAAAATTACTTTATCACGTTTCATAATTTCAATTCTATTTACATTGTTTGTACATAAATTAGTAGATTGTTCATTTGGAGAAAATTCTGCAATCGGAACAAAAGTCTCTTATGCAAAATAATTTACAATGCAATTTTTAACATTTTGAGATTCCATATTTTCATTAAAGTTTTCAAGCGAAGTGTTTACAGGATAAACTAAATGATTTTCTATCAAAAGTGATTTTGTTACATTAACTGCTTTTCTTATAATTTGTTTCTGACGAGCTAATCTTAATTTTTGTTGCTTTTCGATACCATATAAAGAGGCTTGTAATAGCGCGAATTGTTAGCTTCCAACTGGATTTGCTTCATTTTTGAATTATTAGATCCACATATATTTTTTACACTGCAAAAAAATTAAAATTTAAGTGGCTATATATATATATATACCATTAACACCTTGGTCTTCCAGGAAATATATATTATATATATAAATTGTTTTAAATTTTATGCATTAAATAAAGCACATAATCTTTTATGCTGATAGTAGTATAGTGGGCACTATGGCCCGTCATAACAAACCCCCACCACCGACCCGTCTGGCGCCGTGTCTTATCTTATCTTTCCCCCACCACCGGCGTCTGGTTTTTCCGAGTGTGGGTGTAGGGGGAGAGGGTGTTGGGGAAAAAAAAATGGCGACTGGCCCCGAAAGGTGGGGATGAGAATTTTTTATTTTTTTATTTTTTCTGATTTCCTCTGGATTTGAACCTGGGGCCTTCGTGTTTCCGAGCAGGGTCCTAGTATGTTGAGCTAAACGAGATCTTACTAGTCTAAGGATTAGATGAGGTATTTAAGCTAAAGTTGCGTAGGGTACGGTATGGGGGTACGGGTATACGTATGGCAAGGATAGCTCGTCGAATCAAATGGTCGATATTGGACGGGGTGGGGTAAAAACAGTTAGGGTATACGTATGGCAAGGATAGCTCGTCGAATCAAATGGTCGATATTAGACGGGGTGGGGTAAAAACATTTTGACCAAGAAAAGCGTCATGCGGTCGACCGGGGATCGGTGGCAGGTAGTAACTGACAATGCCGTAGGGTAATAAAAAAAGAACACGCAAATATTTGTACTGGCGAGCATTCCGACTCGTGTCACGATAAAAAAATAATGCATCATCGTAGATTAGAAAGAATGCTTATTGTTGAAAAGATGTCGGATAAAATTTTATTTTAAAATAACTCGCTGCTTAATGAAGGTAAACAGAAACATGGATGTTGAGGAAATTTCTGGAAAGAGGAAGTGAAAGAAAATTGAACAATGGTTTTAAAAGTACAAATATGATTTATATTTAAAATATTTTTACAGAATAAAATTATTCACAAACATTTCAAGAAAATATTCGTCGAATAATTATTAAAATTTACGTTTTGATATAATTGTATGTACAATTTGTTCGAAATAAAGTGAAATTATTTCTAAAAATGTTATCTCAAAGTATACATCGAGAAATGTTAAATCTTTCAGTTGGGTACGTACATTACGTTCTATTTCCTTACTGTTACCTCTGATCGTGAGTTTCACGATACTGTTATTAATGCTACCGTTGACAGGAAGATTTAACTGTATTTCGTTAATTAAATATCGAGCACATTCGTTGACATTAGTTGAAATAAAATTTAGACGATTTAAATTAGCGTTCACACAATCAACTATATTTTCTACACCTTGAAAAGTCGTTCTCTGCATGACTATCGCAATGTTGTAAGTTTTACGTTTCTTCGCCTTCGGTCCGTTTTCGTTCGTATCCTCCACAGTCTCGGAAGAAAGATCTTCTTGCTCGTTTTCACGATATGTTATTAGTATGGCTCTAGCACCATATGCGGTAGTGAAATTTACAATTATCTTGTTAAAGATGATCGAGCTCAAATTAATTTTATCACCGTTTAAGTAGCTCGACATCGTTTTCATGTTTTCTTGAAATTTTTGCCACGATTCCATGTCGAAGCAAATCCCTACAGCTCCGTGAGATGTTAATTTAACAACAGGCAGAAAATCCAGTTCGACGTTGTCTTCCGTCATAAGACCCACTTGAATTTTCTTCGTGTAGGATGAATTCAATCCGTATGTTGTTGACAGCAACATACGTGGTTGTTGCTCGATTTTCTTAAGATTGTTCATGGTAGTTGCTACCGCGTAGAAAATCAAAGATATAATAATCAAAGACACGGAAAAATCGAAAAATCGAGAACTTTTTACTAACAAACTTTTTTACTAACGAACTTGAAAGTCCGGACGATGAAAGACGAGTGAGCGAAGATTTTCAAGAAAATTTATAAGAAGGAAGATAAAATAGAAAAGTGGTAGGGAGAAAATGTATGCGTAGATAAATAAAAATTATGAGGAAGGGATTTTTTAAACAATATAAATAATATAATTTTTAATGTGGAAGGGGAATTTTTTAAACAATAAAGCGATAGGGAGAAAATGCATGCGTAGTATAATAAAAATTATGTGGGAGGGGAATTTTTTAAACAATATAAACGATATAATTATTAATGTGGAAGGGAAATTTTTTAAACAATATAAATGATATAATTTTAAATCTGACTTCAGAGAAAATATAAAATTCCTATCGCTATCGAGAAAAGATACTTGAAAATTCCTCATCTTGATTTCTATAAACTTTTTGTAACTAAGTAAATAACGTCCTAGATTAAATATTTTTTGTATCTAAGTAAATATTACCATATATATATAAAACATGGGTAAAAATACACGGCTATGAGAAAAAAAGATAAAAAAAAAGATAAAAAAAGATAAAATAAAATCGAGAAAAGATACCTGAAAATTCCTCATCTTGATTTCTATAAACTTTTCGTAATTAAGTAAATATCGCCCTAGATTAAATATTTTCTGTATCTAAGTAAAGATTACCATATATATATATATATATATATATATATAAAACATGGGTAAGAATACACGTCTATGAGAAAAAAGATAAAAAGATAAAATAAATCGAAAAAGTTACCTGAAAATCCCCCATTTTGATTTCCATAAACGTATAAATACGGCTCTCGGAGTTAAGTTAGCTAGCTACATTTTTGAATTTCGTCTCTCGCGTACTCACGTATTCGACGCAAGTGTACTATTAAATTTCAAATAATGAGTTTGAAAAAAGTAATTGAAATTTGTCTATCACTAGCGCAGAGTTTATGCGGAAAAAATTTTTCCAAGTATATATATGAATTAACATGCGCGAGTGAAGACAAATGCTTCAATATTTTTGGAAAATTCGCGGGGGAATGTCCCAACGCTGTGCTAGCGGTATTATTCCGACTAGGACATTTTAGTGTTTTTCGCGAATTAGTGATTATCGCGGGTGAGGTGATCGAGTCGCGATACTATTTTGGTGGTGAGAAAGAAAACGACGCAGCAGGTCACATAGAATATCTCCTCCTACATTTTCATCGAGTTCTCCGGGGAGAAGATAATAATGGTAAGTTTTTATTTTTTTTTTACACTTAATTATAAATAAAAATTAATTAAAACTACCCCAATTATTTATTTAAATCGCTAAAACTTTAGCTTTCGTACGCCCTGTCGCACGCGTTACAGGAAACCGGTTGCGCGTACTAGAGAATCGCCCCGTATCACTTAGATTAAGGTTAAATAGAAGACGACGAGCGGATTCTTCGCCGGAGCCCGGACCTTCGCGTAAGTTTTTAACATCATAAATTATATCGCGCTGCTAGAAAACATTATATTAAACAGGAAATTTTTTAATAAAAATAATATACGTTCCAGGCCGTGCACGCATCGTGTTAACGCCGGAGCTGGAACACCCGGTTATTGATTTAGCCGAAAGTGATAACGACGTGGAAGAGGTGCGGGTTCGCGAAGTAAGTCCGTTCGATGAGGCGGCCATATTTACTCCGCTTGAAAGTAAGTAAGAAAAATACTACAGTGCTATATATCAACACAAAAGATTTTTTAATTATGTGAAATACTAATAATATATGACCGATGAATATTAGATGACGCGGCGAATGAAAACGTGGTCGTAGAGGAGCGAGAACTGGGGGAGGAAATCGACGAGGAAATAAACACGATTTCGGAAGATGAAGAGGAGCTGGAGGAGGAAGTGGAGGAGGAGGAGGAGGAGGAAGATGAAGAGTTGGAAGAAGAAGAAATAGAGCAAACGGAAGATGAAGAAGAAGAGCCGGAAGATCGAGAAGAACAAACGGGAGATGAAGAAGAAGTGGAAGATGAAAATAACAACGCCACGTTTTCTGTAGAAGAAGAAGAAGAAGAAGAAAATAGCGGGGGGATGGGCGAGGAAGGTAATAATTTCATATTTTATACTTAATCTTCTCCTACGTTTAAATTTTTTGTTTATTTTAATTAAAATAAAATTTTATTAGGAATTTCTTTCTCTCCTAACATCGCGCCCGAAATTTCATATTCACCGGAGTATTAACCCTCGCAGCGTGATACAAATACCCCGGTAAAAGAATATTAAAA